TTTGTGTGGGGTCCGATCAAACCCTGAGGCAGCCATGTTTGTTTTCTATTTTTAGAGGGCATTTATGCGTGTAATCATTCCATATTTTGAATTCGTGTTTCCTAATATGGTTGGATGAAAATACACAGTGCAATACCGCAAAATTATGTCCTGCTGTAACTTGTGGCATTACGGTGACAGATGTATAATAATAATTTATTTATTTCTCTCTGCAGATGGGATCCGTCAAAACGAATGACACCAGATGAAGCCATACAGCATGATTGGATATTAGAGGGAAAACTTTCCAAAAGTAAAGAGTCAAAGCACCACCATTCAGCAAGGCACAAGAACGTTTATTCGCATATACCGTCCATTAATACCTTTGCAAAGGACAAAGTAGATGAAGAAAGTGCAGGTATGAAGCCATAAACAGTATGTTTGAAGTCATTATCACAAGATATATTCAACAGTTAACTTTTATTAAATAATACTTTTTAATACATATATTAAAGGTTGATTTTGATCCAAAAAAAAACACCTCTGACACAGAAAACAAACTTTTCCTGAATTCTACCAAATCTGTTGCACTTCACCAGTACACATGATGTGCAGGATGATGAAAAGAAACAAAAACTTTTTTTTTAATGCCTTGACAACGTTTACATAACCAAAAGCTGGTACCTGTTTGTTTTGTTTATTGCTTATTATGTATAATGTTTAGCATACTTATAATTAACAAATCAACTACTTGTAAAATACTTTATTTTAGCTGGAATTATTTTCGCTGAAATGACTTTTTTGGTGTTTTGTATGGAATTTATTTTCACTGATTTTTAGCAAGTTGAATGTAAAATATAGGAAAAGAGGAATATTGACTGTATTTTATAATCACTGAATCATTCCTTCACCGAAAATAGCGTAAAATGATTGCGAGCGAACAAATAAAGTATTTTACAGTAGTTATATATAAAATAGACATAGGCACACCAATATTTTATCTACATGTATATATGATCATTTCCAATTTAAATAAATTTGTGATTCTCATATTACCCAAAATCCTTTTGACCTTGTGGTAGGCATTTCTTAAGTTATACTTAATAATCAAGGCTGGTTCAAGCGGATTTAAACGCTGTAATTTATAATTGCTTTGTCACAATGAAGTTCTCAGCAAATAATTTTTTTTTTTCCCCCCTGAAGACAAATCACCACCAGAAGAAAATATTAAACGAAAAGAAAAACGAAGTGGGAAAACAAAAGACAAATTGCTCCCAGTGGAGGCTGCTGATAACAGTCAGCTGACTGATCCTGTGGATAAACCTGTGAATAAAGTCAAACCATTACTTGCATCTGATACTAACCATATAACTGTGGAGTTGAAAACTGCCAACGATGAAAAGGTGGAACAAGCAACCGGTGGACAGTTCCTGCCCCCTATCTAATTATGTAACATCAAAGGGATCTATATATTACCAGCATTATTACCAATAAAATATATTTACAGTGAACTCTAATGGAATTAGCCAGGAATGTTGAATAGAAGGCAATATGTACTCGTATATACAGTTAAGAAGAGGTTTTTACATATACATTCCTACTTACGGATGTCAGAAAAACGCAATTTACAAATCAAAAAAAAAAAATCAGACATTACTGAGAAATATGGTATTTGATTGCAATAATTTTGGACATTCTCAAATTCTACTCTTTAAACTGTTAAGGCTTTATATAATAAATGAAATTTCATATTGCATTATTTTTAGCACACAGTGCTAAGTGTATAAGCTTTTTCTTTTTATTTACACCACCATTTTTAGTTTTTGTAAATTGATAGTTTTACCATTCAGCCACTTTGTGTAATCTTTCACTCAACAGATTTGTTTTATTTCCATGTGTGATAATTTGAGATTAATGTACAGTATCTGAAGAAGATTGTAAATTTTTCAAGTGCAATTTTTATAACCTAGAAAATTTAACCAGTCCTTGTATGTGGCATATCCCACCATGCTCAAGTCTTGGCTTTTTTAAAATACAATTTCTTTTTATTATTTTATCTTTTTAATCAGTGGGTTGAAAGCACACAGGACTGAATATTGTTTTTTATACTGTAACTCAATTTCTGTAAATATGCAAATGAGAATTTCAAATGTTAAATATAACGAATAATGATAATTGTATTTTTATATGTAGTGTGATTCAACTCGCATTCTACTCGTTGATTGTAATTAAAAGGTTCACTTACTTTGGGATAGCGCAAGGTTTAGTAAGTTTGAAATATTTCTGTTTCTCTCTCTCTATATATATATATATATTGTCTGAACTCTGTTTTCTAAATCTTAAATTGCTATGGTAATTACACTGGTATGGATCTTGTTTAGTGTTTTAATAAATCACACAACAGACAGCTATGAAAATAAAGTACATGTTTATATATTTCATTCAAATGCAATTTACACATTATATATCATTAATTTAAAAAAATCAAATTTCAGTTTTTGAATATTGTATGTATAAGCAGGGAAAACAAAAACTCCATACTCTGTTTGTCCTATTCAAAACGTGCAATTATATGAATTTCCAGTCAAAATAGTGACAGTGTTAGGTTTCTTTACTCTTCTGTACTTTTATGTACTTCGAATAGAGCAAACAGAGTATGTGTTTTCTAAGGCATTTTATCCTATTTTCATACCCCAATTTGTGATTTATTAATATGACATGATATCTTGATTTGTGATGCTCAATCCATACTGATGTAATCCTGGTGCTTTCATAGAAAAATCTGCAGGGTCCTTACACGAGTCAATAGATCAAGCAAACAAGGAAGTTATGAGTCGCTATATCTTGAAACTATACAAAAGTAACTATGCACAAACTTGAGTCAGAATTCTGATGTGCAAAGTTTGCATAAAAAGTTTGTTTCGCCTACTACCAATGACTGCATTATACTATAAAGAAATGAGAACTAATAATGTGTAATAACTTTTTGCTTGATCCATTAAGGCTCAACAGTAATCACTGCAGGGTGTTTTCTGAAAAAAATGTATTCCGTCCTGTGTTATATTTTACACTTAGCATTTTTAATGAATGTACGTACCACCGTACAGTATTTAACGTCCAAACAGTATTGCATTTTAATTATTCTATTTCTATAAACACATTTACTGTACAGTTTTCCAAACATTGGTGGAATTGTTCTCCAATATGTGCTAAACTAAAAAAAGGAAGATGTGATGTACTTATTATCATATCATTTGATGCCTTGTTTTAGCCAAAATCGAGAGATATGTGTGAAACCACCTCATGGCCTTGTGTTTACTTTATACTTACCTAAATACTAAATACCGTTGTTGTAGACCAAAGGTAATCCGTCCATGCTCAGTCATCAATTACAAAAATTTCTTGGCCATTTCCATAATAAGCACATGGTATTCTCTATTGCTGCTGTCTATTTAAAAGTCCAAAAGCTACACTCAGTCCCCATATTTAGACTATTACACATCCTATCAAATGGCTAAACATGGTGTAATATGTTAGCTGAACATTTAGCCTGTATTTTTGTTTGAACAACAATTCATTTTATAGCTGTGCTGGTGTTCTTCATATGTTCTAACATTTTACATTGTGTGTAGTCATTTATAACCACTACGTAAATATTACCTGCTTCATTCACATGTATTCTGTATGTGTATTTCCTTATATGATCTTGTACAATTGTGACCACTTTTTTTTATTTATTTAATTAGAGGGCCAGGGGTTTTATTGAAAAATTACAAATTCTTGTAGTCTAAAGATATGAGAAGTGCAATGGGAATGAAATTCGAGTTTATTTGAAAATTACAAATGACCCATGACAAGAGCCATATTTATGCAGTCCACAGCATACCTGCTTGTTGAGTTCATGACTGTTTTCTTATATATTCAAAGTGAATGAGAGAAATAAGCCTTATCAGAAAGAATCCGTCCAGTCTTGTGTTTGGCAAAAGTTTATTGAAGAACCACGTGTTCAAAATATCAGCTCCAACACAAGACGCATTTTGTGTTAAGTGTGTCATCTCATCTCATATTTGAATCTGGAAAATATGTCAGTGTTTATTTTTATATATAAAATTGCATCCAGCATAGCCCTCAAATTTAATATATTGTATTCAATGTTCAAATGCTTTTGACTTTTACATTCTTTTAATTCATCTCTTAAAATCTATTTGTTGGTTATGCAGAGTCTGTGTTTACTTCCAGTGACTAGCAGCAACCACATTGATTTCCGTCCCATTAACTCATAAGTATTATGAAATGTATATATATATATATATGAATCAAAGATTTATCCTATATGGATAAGGAATGAAACTGTTCTGTTATATTGAGCGTTCAAGCATGTAATATGCAACATTGATAGCAGTGCCTTTCTTGATGCTCTCTGCCACTTTGTTTATGCGAAGCATATCTCTCACAACATTGTCTTAAAAATATATCTGACACTATGTGTACTCTGCTCAGTTAGCATTACTGTCTTTGTTCTTTTAGTTCCAGGTTACAAAACAGGATAGTTTTAGATTGGCTGGGAGCTTTTGATCCTTGTACACATTCACTGTAATTTACTCATCTTGTAGAGTAAATACAGTAATTTATTCTTGGAGATTTAAAAACTAAACCAAAAAAAATTGTTGTACGATATATATATATATCAGGAAAACTGGGTAATATCACTCAGGTCATGATCATGAAAATAATATATTTCCCAGACGCAACATGAATATTTTTTTTAAATTACACGTATATGGCAGTATGTTATCCAGCATTACCAGAGTATTATCAGATTTATTAATCAGCATTATGAAAGACCACCAGTCTAACTATACTTATAGTACCATTTAGACAGAAAATGCCAACTGCCAGAATTATTCATGTTTAAGTTAATGTATGATCAGCCCATTATTGCATAACTATGTGGAAATTACTACCACTACATCTTTTTGACAAAATAAAGAATTTCTTAACTTCTCTATTTCTCTCTTAAACAACATTTGTTAACTTTTTTCACAACTAGGCACTGAAAATTTGATAATCGGACTGCGATCAAATGCAATTAAAATAAGTTGCTAATTTTACTGTTGTAAACAAAATTTTGTTCTACATGTTTTCCTGTTCTGCACTTTAAGCATTGTTTTTCACACGTGTTCAGTTACAAGCAAAAAAAAAATATTGTATATTCTTGAATCTTAGCTGTTCAAGTGTGATTTCTCAAATTTCAGCTGTTGAGTCAGCACAGTATTTTTATGAAGTTGTCATGTTGCACTGTCATAAAGCCAAGAAGACAAATAAACTAAGGGCTGTTCGCATATACAGAACATAACATCCTGCTTTGTCTTTTTATACTTACTGTTATCGGTAGTGTAGTGGTTATTACATCAGATTTAAACTCATACCCTGGGTGAGTGTGCCACAGACTCAATGTGGCATCCAACAACTGGCCAAGAATAATTCACCAACTGCAAACTTTGAGTGGGGGAACCTAGTTATGTTTTGAAGGTGCTTGTACCATTATGTATTAACTCTGTTCGTATTTCCCAAATATGTTATTAGAAAAATTATCAAAAATGAATTTGCATATATTTAATAACAAAATAAAATATACTTTACATATTCTTATGTCCTTTGTACAAACTGCAGCTCATTACAACAATCAATTTATTTGCCCCAGAAAGTGATGGGGACCTACATGAATATAATCATTAATTACATGTTCTTGTGATAACTTTTCCTGACCATAATTTTTTTGTATAACAAGTCATGAGGTGACAGTTTCTGTTGTGCAAAAAAAACCTGAATCAGTCTGTCATATTGAATCAGAACTGTCAAGCTCAATTTCATGGAAAGGTAGAAATAATGCTTTTGATGCATTTTTAGTTTAAAAGTTTATGCCACATGCCAATTTTTTTGGTATCATGAACAACATGTGTTACTTCAAGTATGTGTGAAGTTTTAACACGATTGAATCATCTTCTCATTATGTTCAACATGATCTGTCCAGGTACATCTGAGATGTGGCTCTAAAACAGCATTTCCTAAAAAAAGAATTTCATTATGCATTTAACAAAAAATAAAGTATATTTTCACTGTAAAAATTGCATGTCTCAAATTATGTCATCTGATAAAAAGTAAATGAGAGTATTTTCTCATGAATCAAACTCCTTTCTGAGGGATTCTCGCATCTATAGGTGAAAATACAGTCCACCCTCTAGCGATGATAATACTAATACTAGTAAACAAATAGTTACCAAAGTGGAATATTCGCTTTTAATGGAATGAAGGTGAAATTAATGACAGAGGCGCAGTCAAGGTCGATAATTATTTTCTGAGGGTCAGTCAAACTGAATATTGACAGACACTGAGGTACCCAATGAATTAAGACATAAATCCAACTATGGAGTCTGTTACAGATGCCATTTGTAAATAACTATGCATGCACAGTAAATATGAATTTTATTAACGGCCACTTGGCCATGTTTTGTCAACGTAATGACTATGCACATGAGGTATAGTTATGTAATTTAATCCATCAACCATTCATAGAAAATAGTTTCTTTAATAAAAACAAAGGCATTATAAATGTGTGTCATTTTTAACATGAGGGCGAAATTATGATGACGACTGCCCTCTGGCGATGACCCGGTAAAATTAAAAATGGTGGCCATCAAGGTAAGTTATTTGCAGCTGCATGACAAAGGGAGATATTTTTATTGCTCCGTTCTATACGAGGAATGCTCTTATCAACAAAGATAAATATTTTTGCGACAGACAACAATTGGTAACGTTAGCACTATTTGCCCATTTATATATAGCTTGCACTCGTTATTTGTTCCAACGAGATGTTGTAATTATGTGTCCGTTGCCCTTGACCTAAACGCCAAACGCGGAACATAAACCCGCATATCTCCGACCATGGAGCTATAATGATTACGATCCAAGTGACTATGTGTCAGAGGGTCAGTGTCATACGCGTGTAAGGAATTTGGTACGCATATGCATTTACGTAAGTATTGTCTGTCTTTGAATGGGTTCACAAAAACGGATGAAACTCAAAGGGCGCGATGACCGCCGCCCTTCAACTAATCAGTGATTCGTACATCTATATAATTTTTACTTCGTATATTTTGTCAGACTTGATTAATTTCGTTTGAATGCGGGGATCTAATATGTGTACACGATGAACTTCAATTGCATGGCAAAGCTGGGTGTTTTGACCAAGTTGTAAATGTATGATGCAGTGTGGAACCTTATATAACCCCTATCATAAATGGATGTTGTCAATATACGTCCATTTAAGGATGTTCATTTACATTTATGGCTCCAGTAAAGGTTCACCATTATACTAAGACAGAATTCCCTCTGATGTATGATGACCTACATATGCACGCCAATTTTCGTTATGATTTGATTAAATATGGCTGACTGCCAGCCATTTTGTCCTCAAATTTGCTAAATTCTGGTATTTAAACATGTCCGAAACTGTTTCTCGGAGCTGAACAGGGTGATTTCAATCCAACTTTGTATGGTAATCATGCATATTGGGTTATAGGTGCATGTCACTTTTTTTTGGAGATTCGGCCCAAGATTGCTGTCTGGCGGCCATTTTGTTCAATCAAACTTTGTATGATGACCTTACATATTGGCTGCGTTTTTCTTTCTTTCCAATTCAGTTCAAAGTTTCCATGTAGGTACTATATTGACAGTAACACAATCTATAATCTCTGTTAGTGTTAAAAAAAACATTGATCTTTCATTTCTACATGTCACTTGTACTGAACATTTACATCGACTACAGCTACTACTGAACAGGGACTATGCATTATCAATGCTTGTTTTTTAAATATCTGCATATATAATCTATTTGGATTTTAATCATCCATATTGACTCCAAATTATAGTTAGGAAAAAGTACTTTAATTTCATGGTAAACACTTAAGTCTTTGCATAAAGCATGTAACTATAGTCACAATATTAAAATTAAATTCTATATAATGTCTGGCATGAATATTCATTGATTGTTGATATGTCCATATTTTTTTTAAATTTTCACATACAGCCCTGACATGGATTTAAATCGTCAATCAGACAATATGCGCATGTTTATAGTTACTGACTGAATATAGTTACTATGGTTACTATGTTATAGTTATTATGAATACACTTAATATGAGTGCAGGAGATGATTTCCTGATTTAAAAAAAACAAATATTTCTCGGTGAACCACAAATTACACTGGATATTCCTATTCTGAACAAGCAAGTGAGGATGTGTAGTTATGCTGTGAAACAAGTAGTGGTTGGTTATTTGGGTTTTAGTCATGAATATATGCTATATATATATATATATTTTACCTTGGCAAAACAGAGTTGCTTGGCAACCAGTGTAGCTTGGAAACTAGTGTATTGAAATAAGTGTAGCTAGGCAACTAGTGAAGTTTAGCAAGCAGTATATTTGCAACAAGTGTAGCTTGGCAACCAGTGTAGCTTGGCAACCAGTATATTGGCAACAAGTGTAGCTTGGCAACCAATGTAGCCTGGCAACAATTGTAGATCGGCAACCAGTGTTTTGTCAACAATTGTAGCTTGGCAACCAGTATATTGGCAACAACTATAGCTTGGCAACCAATGTAGCTTGGCAACCAGTATATTGGCAACAAGTGTAGCTTGGCAACCAGTGTAGCTTGGCAACCAGTATATTGGCAACAATTTTAACTTGGCAACCAATGTAGCTTGGCAACCAGTATATTGGCAACAAGTGTAGCTTGGCAACCAATGTAGCTTAGCAACAAGTGTAGAATGTCGACCAGTATATTGGCAACAAGTGTAACTTGGCAACCAGTGTATTGGCAACAAGTGTAGCTTGGCAACCAATGTAGCTTGGCAACCAATGTAGCTTGTATTGCAAAGTCATAAAATTGGCCATGCTTTGGTATCTTTGGATATGACATCACAGATTATCAGTAGCTAATTGGATATCAGGGGTGGGGTATCAAAAATATCCAAAGGATTGTATCACAAGGAACAGGCATGATACATGGGATTAAGACAATGATGTTAATGATTTCTTTATTTTCTCAGATCTGATGATGCCAGGGTGAAGACTATCATATATTCATCACTACATAGAAATGGAGGAGGGTGCGTTTGGAGGGTGGATGCAACAAGTGAATAGAACCTTTAATTCCGAGTTGAGCGACTCACAGCGATGTGTCGTGTTTGATCAACTCATATCCACATCTGGTGCTACTCAATTAAGATACTTATCAACAAAATTAGAATGCTTACTCAAAAGGGATTTCCTACGTCTTCTTCCACTGGAACTCAGTTTCTATTTACTGACGTGGCTGGATCCACAGTCGTTGTTTACGTGTTGTGTTGTTAGTAAACACTGGAATAAGGTCGTCAATGAGTGTGCTGTAACGTGGCAAAACGCGTGTCGTCGTCTTGGACTTAAGATTAATGCTGATGACTTACAGGTACAAAATGGCTGTCACTGGAAGGAGGCATTTGTTGCTGCTGGTAATCGAAGGAATCAGCTCGCCAGTGGACGTGCATTTGAGTTTTCCACAGTATATGGGCACACTGCCAGAGTTTATGCACTGTATCAAAAAGATGGGAAAATCGCAACAGGTAATGTCATGTCCATTGTGTTTTATGTGGATTATCAGGGCTGTCCACTTGATGTTTAAGATCAATGTTGTGGAAAGCAAAGAAAAGCACAGTTGTAAAGTTGTAGTGTACATAAATTTTATATATTATGTATGTAATTTATATTATATTCCAAATGCAAAGTACTTCAAAAATTTCTTCAAACAAATTGAAAGTATATTGAGTTGTTATACATTCATTGTGCACAGATATATATATATATATTATATAATTAATCAGGAAAATATTACTAAATATCAAGTGTAGGTTGCAGTAGTATATTTCTGTTTGTTTATATGGATTTTTATATTTTTGCCCCATGTACAATGTATGCAGAGCATAAAAAGTGGCTAAAGTATGCTAGTTGTTCAGTAACCGTCAAGGAACATTGAATTCACATCAGAGCACTTTCTAGTATGTTATACTGTTTCCTGTTTGTGAAGTGGGTTTAACAAGTTTTGATACGTACTTGATATTATTAGCCACAAAGGCTGTAAGTATTTTAAATTTAACTTTTTCATAATCAGACTTTCTCGACCAAATTTGTAGTCCCTGTTCGGACCTCCGTGCGTCCATGCTTCTGTGTGTGCGTGCATCCGGACCTGTATCTTAGAAATGCCTGCGCCAATCACAATCAAACTTCACACATACATCATACATGATATTATACATATGCACATCAATTTGTTTCACGATCTGATTCAAGATGGCCGAATGACAGCCATTTTTGTGCTAAAAAACATCAAAATCAAGCATTTCTGGCATTTCTGGATGGATTTTGTTCAAACTTGGTACATGCATTAGACATTACAGGTTCAATAACTAACAGGGACTGTGCAATGCATGGCTTTATTTTTTCTTGTATTCTTTATTATTCCTGGAAATGAACCTTAATTTTGGAGCCAACAGACTAAATTTGAGTAAATTTTCAGTGTTTACTCAAAAAAAAAAAAAAAATAATCTTCAGAAAGAAAGTGCAGACTATAAACGGAACTATTTTGTGAATTTTTGATGAAAAGTGGGAACTGGTGGTCAAAGTTTAATGTTAGCCAATAACGCTCGGTGAAGACATGTGGTACTTATTACAAGAGGTACAGCCTGGAAAGAGGAAACCGTTTCTACTATTGTTGATGGTGGAATTCCATTACAACCTACTTACACCATTGCCAAGTACACACTTGTCTGTAAAAGAACAATTTAAACTAGACTGGAATTTCTTGAATCTAACCAGGCCAATTCAATTGTCAAACAAACACTTGTCTATATCCTGTCTGATCGGTAGACTCAAGTTCAAATCCTACCTTAGGCTGAACATCAAAGGGTCGACCCTTACTCTGGGTGTGTGTGTGCCACAGACTGAATGGGAAGGCCAATTCCACTGGCCGAGATTCATTCACTAACGAATGCAACTTTGGGGGAACCTTGGTTAAGGTCTGCAGGTGATTGTGTTCGACCGAGCCTGGTTGACACCAGGATAGGATAACACTATAAAAGACAATTTAAACTAGAATTGAATTTCTTGAATCTAACCAATAGAAAGCCAATGTCGTTGTCAAGCACATTCAGTCATTCATTCACTTCCACCTACATAGAATACCAGATGTTAAAATAAAAATTGATGATAATCTGAGATTGATTCATTGTTTACAGGTTCTGATGACCAGTCAGTTAGATTATGGGATGTAGAAAGCGGTAGATGTCTATCAGTAATACAGGCACACACATGTGCTGATGTGAAGTTTGATGAAAACAAACTAATCACTGCCTCTTTTGATAACACTATTTCCTGCTGGGATTGGACAACTGGTGAGAGAACACAGCATTTTATTGGTCACACTGGAGCAGGTGAGTACACTGATTGGTTCATGTAGGTCACATGCCAATTTGCACAATATTGGCACAAAAGAACCTAAAATGATGAGAACCTAAAAATGGACAATGCTAATTAATTTTACCTTAAATAGGATGTTCAATCTAGTGAAAAGTGACTGATGGATACCTTTTTATCACCATACTTTAAATTTTGCCAAATTTCTGGTGTCACAGCTTTGTTGATATTTCCCACAATTGAACAGAATCCACTCCAGGTCCCAGTCATGGTGGTCAATAATTATAGTTATAATAATTATTACCCAACCATAATTAATTTTATACTTTTAGCTATACCTAATATTAAGCTATCGATGGATGATGTCAGAAACGGGGACTACATATTCACATAAATTTGTTTTTCTCCGATGTACTTTTACATATTATGTTATATTACGTACCGGTTCGAGTCACGCACGCAGTACGTATTTACTATAATTAGACATAGTCTTTACCTTGCCGTTTATTCGGTGTTATTTGCTTACTTATAATTGTATGTAGTTTGGTTATTACCAATTTGTAGTGTGTGCATAACATTTAGCGGTAACGCTTTTTAATTCAACTGACACACTGCTTCTATTGTTTGCCTTATCATAAATTTATTTTCTTTCAAAGTTTTCAGTGTAGATTACAGCGATGAACTTGGCCTTGTTGTGAGTGGATCAGCTGACAGAACTGTCAAGATATGGTCATTAATCACTGGAGAACTTTATAATACTTTTCACGGACACAAAGAATGGGTGACAGAGGTGGGTGAAACTAAACTGATCTTAAACTGGTATAAACTGATTGGATTAAAATTAACTTATCTAAGCTGGAATAAACTTGTCTAAACTGAAGGAAGAACTAAGCTTAGTTTGATCTGTTAAGTACTGTAGAATACTTTATTAGTCCCCGTTCGGACGGAGTCCGAAAACGGGGACTTATGTTTTGCCCTGTGTGCGTCCGTGCGTCCGTGCGTCCGTGATCACCTGTATCTCGAACATGCATGGACCGATTATGTTCAAACTTCACTCATACATCACACATTATATGGGACATATGCACATGCATTTTTTT